GGGATGTCTGCAAATACACAGTGGCTATGGTTGGCAAGTCAGAAAACCCCGAGCTGGAAGGGTCCCTGGCAGGCAGGGCCAGTGTGGGCCAGAGATGAATCCCGGGTGACAGCCAGCTAGGGGCAAGGCGGGGCAAGGTCTCAGGATGCATCTAAGGGCTATTCTTCTGCCTTTGGGAACAGTCTCATTCCAAAGGGACCGACCCCAATACCTCCCCCTAACCATGCCCACGACTGCCCTGACTACAGCTCAGGTTTCTCAGAATCTCCAGGACCACAAAATACCTCTCTCCAGTGGATTCCTGTGCTAGACTCCAAAACGGCGGAACTCGCAATGACAAAAGTAATGCAAGCCCTTTGCTAAAGGGTTGCTCTGTGCCTGGCATTGCATTCATCTCACTTAGTCTTTATTCCAACTCCACAGGTAGGAACTGTCACTGCCTCATTTTACAGGGGAGGAAACTGAGTCTCAGAGAGATTAAGTGACTTGCCCCAAATCATATACAATGAACTGAACTCCATCAGGGGCCCTAAGTAACCTTTGCAGGAGCTCGTGAGAGCTAGCACAGAAGACTGGAGTAAGGTGGGCCGTGACCTCCACTTCCCAGGAGCAGTGAGCCCTCTCTTTCCTACTCCAAGACCACCCTCAGGCGGGTGCCGCAGCAGGGCCAGCCTTGGTGGGCCCGCCCACTCACCTGGAAGCGGCAGGCTCGGTGAGCTGTGCCTGCAGGGTGTGTGGCGTAGAGCCGGGCACAAGGCAGGTTGCCAGGTCCCGGCAGCCAATCCTGCCCTTTGAGGTGGAAGAGGACTCGGGCATGGGGTTCTGCTGGAGTCACAGCCACTTCCACTGACACGGCCCGCACATCCCACGGGACCGGCTTTTGGTGGGGCTCAGTGACCCGAGGAGGGACAACCTGCAGGGAGAATGGGGGTGCTCAACAAACAGGAGGAGGGGGGAACTAAGATGTGAGAAGATGGGATGCCAGGTTTCCAATTCCAGCCTGGCAGGAGAGAGCCTTTGTGGACCTGTTTCCCCCTCTGGAAAGCCGTGAGCACCTCTGGGGCTGGGGCAGGCCCTGAGCCTCACACAGCAGACATTGGCTCTGAGCCCTTTCAGCCTGGGAGTCCCTGGTGCCCCTTCCTTACCTGCTGAGTGGCAAAGGGCGGGTAGGAGGCCCGGAGAAGTGGCTGGGCCCTGGGCCAGGGTTGCAGGAGCAGAAAGGTCTCAGATCGGGAGCCCAGAGAGGAGTTGGCAGGTGGGTAACGGCCCACCTGCTGCACACGGAAGTGCTCGGGGGCATCCAAGAGCTCTAGGGCTGCTGGCAGGTACACGGGGCCCAGGGGATCCTGGTCACCGTCCACTGAAGAGGGAGAAGGGGTAGACAGAGATGGTGAGAGCCCCAGAGCTGGCAGGGACACAGTGGCAGTGGGTAGTGGAGGAAGAAAACGGTTATAACTGTCCCACCCCTGGGATGTGAAGGACTCACCACTGCACAGGGGAGGAAACTGGGACTCAAAGAGGACCACACAGGTAGCATGTGACAGGGCCAGGATTTAAATCAGTGTCCAGGACTGGAAGCCAGTCCTGTGACATTCCTTCTTCTACCTTCATCCAGCAGAACCTTCTCCTCCTCCCCGCTTCCTACCCCCTATGTAACTGCCTCCGACATCAAGGCAATTTTGGGGTGCAGCTCTCTGCAGACAGGGCCTCGGAGGTAAAAGATGGTGACTAGGTGACCTTTGTAGAGGTAGAGACTCTTTCTCTGCCCCTAGGCCCTCGGCCAGACTTGGTTGGGCATCTACCCTCCCTCCTCCATCATCACCATGGCAACATTACACCAGTTTCCCAAACTGGCTTCCTTCTATCCCTATTCCAACAGGGTTCTGGAGTGTAAGAGTAGGAAGGGGGTGGTGGGTGGGAATCATGAGCCTGGAAGAGAGTCTGGTATTTAATAACCAGGAAAAAGGACCACTAAGACCATACTTGGTTTGTACCCAACTGACTATTAGTTAGCCCTAATAACAATAATTAACATTTTTAGAATGCTAACTATATGCAGGCTACTATTGAAAACCCTTTACATACATGTATTAACTCTTTCAGTTTCCGTAATAACTCTGTGAACTAGGTTCTGTGACTATTAATTCCATTTTATGGATGCAGAAAATGGGGCTGAGAGGTTAAGGTACTTGCCTGGGGTCCCCCAGCTGGTACATAATGGAGCTGGGAGTCAGAGTACAGGCATCAACCACTGGACCACCCTGCCTCCACCCTCTTCTCTCTGCACCCTATGCTGCTTGCAACAGCGTTCACTCCCTACAGGTGGGTCTCTCCCTCCTCTTTCAAGACCAATAGTGAATGTTGCCTCCTTAAGGAAGTCTTCCTTGATAGCTTGCCCGCTCACCCGTCCCCTCCGTTATCTGCACCCCTGGTTGCCTTCTCTGAATTAGTTATCTTCCTGTTTACCAGCTGGGCCTTGTCGTGCTCATCCTGGATCACAAATTGGGCAGCTTTCCCTGGAGAGGATGTCCTAGGAGCCTGGAGACCTGCATTTACACCCTAACTCTGCCTCACTGAGGGTTGGGTCAGTGATTTAAGGGCTGGGAGCTCCGTTTCACCTGTAGAACTGGCGTTTAGTGACACTGTGGACAGGAGAGGGCTTTGTACACTGTGGAGCACAGCATGGAGGAGGGGTTGTTGCTGCTGCATAATGGATGGGACCAGGCTTTCCTCATCTCTGTGTGAGGAGTTATTAGGACTCCTGCAGGTCCCCTGGGGAGGGGAGCAGGTGGCTGAAAGCAGCCCCAGAGCCAGCTCCCTCTCAGTCCCACTGCTGGGCTAGGGGACTTGATGGTTTCAACCTCCTTCAAGACCCTCCCCATCAATGAGCATATGTCTGAGACACTCATCCTGCCCCCCTTCCCAAGTGTAACAGGTGAGTGACTATGGCTCCCACGGGGCAGCCACTGGCTGCCCTTCCTCCTCCTAATTACAAGATGCTGGGAGGCCTGACTCCAGGACTCTCAGCATCTGGATCTCAGCTGTGTGTGTGTGTGGGGGGGGGGGGGGTAGAGAATACCTCAGTATCCCCCACTTTTCTGTGGCATCATCCACCTAGCAGCCACAGCCCATGCCAAGAGCAGTCCCACAGGGGAGTCACTGCCCCTTCTCCAGTGATCAGGATTTCCATAAGGGCTCAGGAAGGCATGGATGGGACAATCTCTTGGGACTCCAAGGTCAAAGAACTCCTTGGGGCAGGGGCTCGGGCAAAGGGGCTGCTTCTCATTCCCGGGCAGGGTTGATAGTGTGGGGAGGAGAACAGGAGCCACCGGGGTACAGCTCTGTGGAGGGCAGAAAAGGGAGCTGGTGTGCTCGGGTCCGGGGGCAGCTGGGTTAGATGACCTGGCTGGAGGGGAGGCTCATGGAAGGTACGGGGACCACGTAGGGACCCGGAGATGACGGGGACTGCCCCGGGACCCAGCCTGTCCTGGGTCAGGAAGGAGTTGCTGGGTTGTGCAAGGTGAAGAAGCAATGGGGCAGGATCCCGGGCTGAGATCTCCAGCCCTCAGGCACGCTGCGGGCGAGCCCGCTGGGGTTTAGTCCGAGCACCCGAAGGTCTCCGGCTCCCGGGCATCCCCTGAGCTCGGCCGCGGCCGGGGACCAGCCGCCCCTCGCCCCGCCCCACCCCTCCCGCTGACCTCTCACGACGTCCAGGGCGAGGGCCACCAGGAGGCAGAGCCAGGGGCCGCAGGGCCCCCGGGGAGCCGCCGCCGCGCGCCCCTCCATCCCAGCGCACATCCTTCCCACGGAAGCCGGGGACTAGGCGGGCGGTTCAGGTGACCGTGGCATCTCCCGCGCCCGCTCGGCGCCGACACGATCCGGCCGGCTCTGTCCGGGTCGCCGCCCGCCCGGCTGCAAGCTCGTGGCTGCAGTTCCCAGACAATGGAGCGGGAGCTGGAGCAGGAAGTGGGCGGGAGCGCACGCAGCACATGGGCTGTCCCTCCGCCCCTCCGGGTCCTAGTGCCTCACGAATCCCCAGCCCCCAGGCGCCCCCAGGCGCCCCCAGGCGCCCCCAAGCCCGGAGTCGGGATGAAGGCCCCTTCCTGGGACACTGAACAGCAGGGGACTGACCCGCCTTTGCCAAGAGGGACAGGACGCGTTCCGTTCGCTCCCTCTCAGGAGCTCCCGACTCCGGAGGAAAAGCCAGCTCCTCTGCCTCGCGCCCGCCCCACACGCAGCTCACCTGTAAAGGCGTCTGACACCTGAATCAGAACATGAATTCAAGGACTAGGGGGGCCGTGCTGCGTGGGGTGGAAAAGGGGTGAAATGGGGCCTGTAGGGCTGGGTGATAACCACCTGGGCCACTCCTGGGGAGGAAGGACTCCAGGTGCGGGCAGTTAGTTTCATGCCCAGCCCCATCCCAGTGAGAAACCTGTGGGCGTAGGGAGTGAGCTGGCCTGCCTCTGCTCCAGAGGGAAGGCCTGTGTCCCTGGCCGCCGGGCCAGGTGCCTGCGAGGTAGTGTTGGGAGAAGTTGCCGAGCAGGCAGCAGGCTGCGTACCCAGGCAAGTTGAAAAATAAAAATAAAAAATCCACGCCCAGACCCCCGACAAAACAATCCATTCAATCTGTGGACTGGGCTGGGAACCCCAGCGCAGGAAAATCCTCTCTGGTGGTGGAAGAAGGGAGGGCAGGCAAGTCTCCAGGCTTTGACACTAATGCGCAAAAGGGTGGGGTGCCAGTCAGTTCCTGGAAGTTTCATAATGGGGGCAGGCCTCCTTCATTCCTCACACTCCTGGAGGGAAGGGTACCTGGTACCAGTCTTCCTTCCTGTCCCCTCCCCTCCTTCCCTTTCCACCACCTCCACACTGCCCCTGCTGAAAGAAGTCAAGACGGCTGTGAAGTGGCTACAGAAGTGGCTTTAGCTGTAGAGTGTGAAGCAAAGCAATCCAGACTTTAAGTAATACATTTGACACCAAACAAGATAATAAAATAGCGTGCACTTTATTTAAAACCAACCAAGCGCTGATAAAAATATATATCACTGCAGCTGTGACTCAACATCAAACCTTAACAGTAAAAACCGGGCATTTATTCTCAATTCATGTCATGTGCATCATGTGCTCCGGCCTGGCAGAGGAGGATGCCCACCTCCACCGGAGCCTCAAAGGAAGAATGAGAGCCCTGGTGGAGAGAGGTCGGCAGGCTCCCCCTGCTCCCCACAGAGCTTGTGAAGGGAAGGGGCTGTGCTGCCATCTCTGGGGTGTCTGCTCCGTGATCCTCCCAGGCCACTGGAGTGGGCCCTGATCAGCAACTCCTTGGTGGCAGCGAGTGGAGGGAGAAATGAGACCCGCCTGGAGCTCTGCAGACAAGGAGAGGGGTCCTCCTTCGGACTCAGGTCCCTGAAATCCCCACAGGGGATCTGACGGCCACTGCATGGTCCTACTTGCAGGCACAGCCTATGAAGCAGTCATCTTTTGCTTTGGCTGAAGGAGAATCAAAATCCTGAGAGAAACCACTCTCTTCTTGACACAAAGCAGCCACCATGCACTTTCCTACATACATACAGCAGCGGGCAAGCAGAGGGCCCACTGGCTTGGATTAAGGCACTTGTAACAGACTCAATGTGCATCTCGTCCCCAGCCCTGGGGGGAACATCCCCACTTCCCTTCCCCTCAGGTCCGATATGCCCTGTCTCTTTCCCACCCTGGGCAATGAAGGGGACAGGAGCAGGCCTTGAGGGAATGGTGTGGTTGGAGCACAGGGCTGGAAGGAGACAAACAGGGAGGGAGCTGGAACTTGGGCAGTGATGCTCGCTGAGAACAGATGCACAAGCTGGAGGCCGGGGGTGGGGTGGGGGGGGTGCCCTCCAAGCTGCCCTGGCTGAGATAGACAGAGAAAGGTAAGATAACCAACCCCAGACAGGGGACCAGCAGGGGGGATGGTCTTCCTTCCTGTCAGCTAGGGGGTCTGGTACAGAGATAGAAGTTCTGATGGTTCAGAGATAGGGCAAGAGAGGGGCAGGGGGCTGGAAGGAGGGCCAGCGACCCAGAAGCAGCTCAGCTCTTTGGTACAAAGGTGGCGGAGGCGTTGTTGGGTGTCCTTCTCACTCCTCCTCCATGCTCCGGGTCCCCTTGGCTGCTCGCCTCTGCCGCCAGCGCATCTCCTCCACCTGGCGCTCCAGTGCCCGAACCTTGGCCTCCAGCTGGGCCCCCGAGGCCCGGCTGCCAGTGAGCCGGCTCAGCAAAGCGTAGAGGGTCAGCAAGGCCAGGAGGAGCAAGGCCCGGGTGGAAGGGTCTGGCACCGACCTCACCAAGGCCACAAAGCCGACCAGGAAGACGACAAGCTTTAGGCCCCACAGGATCCGCCCCAGCAGGGCCAAGACCAAGCCGAGGAGCAGGGACAGAAGCCAGTAGATCACCAGGGCCCCAGCTCCCCACAGCAGGAAGGTCTGGACCTGACTGGGGCTGAGCTTCAGGGCCTGGGTGAGGTGCTCTCCTGAAAGGGGGAAGAGTCACAGAATCAGCCACCTGGAGTGGTGAGGGGCCAGCTTGGGGGGGGGGGGGCAGGGCAGGTTAGAACCCAAAGAGGGGGAGGACTTACACTCCCTGCAAAGGAAAACAAATCCTTCCCACTGGGTCACAGAGATGTGAGCCTGAATCTTGGCTCTGGCTCCTGCTGCATGGGTAGATTACTACCCTTGGTTGGGCCTGTTTCGTCCCCAAAGTGGGAGTAATTCCCTGGGCTGTGGGTAAGCTAAATGAGACACCGTGGCTTAGCTTGTCCTGACATGGAGCTAATGCCTAGGAGGTGGTCGTAGTGTTTGGCCTGCTCTTATGCTGGCCTCTTCGGAAACCTGGGAAGTGTCAGGAGGCTGGGGAAAAGTTTAGACCCTGAAAAGACAAACCCCCACAAACAGCTATGGGCTAAGCTCCAGCTGACCGACCAGTTCCCTGTCACTCACCATCCAGCCCCAAGGCATTCAGCAGCTGCGCAGCGATCCCGGACAGAGCGAAGAAGGCCACGGAGATGAATGAGGAGATGGCCCACATCGCCTGAGACGTGGTCTGTGGAAAGAGCAGTGTTGAGATGAATCCGTAACTAATGAGGCGCTTCTCCTCCAACCCTCACCACCACGGCACGAGCAAGGCCCGCAGGACCGTCTCCCACCCGCTTCTCAGCCAGAGGTTTGCCCACCCAGGCCTGGCGGGGGGTCCCTTCCACAACTGCCTTCCAGTGCACAGGGATGGATAGCAGGCCATTGCTCCTTCCTGAACTAGAACCCAGGACACCTGGGCCCTAATTCAACTGGAACACTTTACTGGTAGCCATGGGTGTATGTTCGTGGGGAATCATCAAATCCCTGTTGTAGTCACCATGTAAGACTGGGGTCCCCCTAGCCTCCAGGAATCATGAAGTAACAGCTGTAAAGAGCTAGGATGCTTCCGTGAAAAAGGAGTCAGTCAGCTCTACTATATTACAGATTTTATAAATGATCATCTCAGCCATTTAGCACCATCTATCAGAGGTATGTGACACCATGTTTGGGATGCCATGAAGTAGAAGAGAAAGTCCTGACATAAGCCCCTGAGTCAGCTCCCCACCCCCACCTCTACAGGTGAAGAAATGATTCGGGTCTTGATATTTTGCCAACTTACTACTTTAGGTCAAATGTAGACCAAAGTCAGACTCCCGGTCACCCAGTGGCATGGATTTGTAAATATGGCTCATTTTCCAGCCTTTATGGCAAGAAGGGGCAGGAACAAGGGGAAGATGGGGGTGGAGTTAAGGGCCTTAGAGTAGAATTCAAACCATCGGCGTGCAAAGGCAGGTACTGTCTGCTTCATTTTGTGGAATTTGGGGCTCTCTGCACCAGAGATATGACACAGAGGATGCAGAGCCAAGATGGGGTGGTCACGAACAATGTCTCCTCCTTTGTCTTTCTCAGTGCATGTAGTCACAGCAGGGACCACCTTCCTTACCTCAGAAACCACGTGCATGGTCTCTGGCCCAATCCAGGCATCCAGTGTTCCCTGCACAGACCGACCTATCTGGCTCAAGAGATCAACTGGCACCTCCCTCTTCTGCTGGCCTGGTGGCACAAAGTCTCGAGGGGAATTGGACGATGCTGAGTGGACGAGGACAAGGGCCACTAGGACCATCAGGATGACTTTGAACAGATGCTTGCCTGATGGCCAGGTGCTGCTTGAACCTGCCATGACTGGGTCTGTAGGGAGAGAAGCACAGGGTGAACCGAGGGCCAGACTGGCATAGAAACCTCCTGTCTCAGCTATGACCTGCCCCAGTACCCTCCTCCGGCCCTGCCCTGCTAGTGAGAAAGTTGAGAAGGTTGGAACTGGGGCTTCCAACTTAAGTTGGGCACAACCATCTGATTCACAGATTCCTCTTTCACACTCTTTACCACTTGCATATTAATTAACCAGTGCGTATTACTCAATGCCTTGGGCTGGATGAGATGATCTCTCTGATGCTTACTCCAGTTCTAAGAATTTTGAAGGCCTGTCTCTGTTTTAGGTGCTTTGGGTATTAAAAAAAAAAAAAGTATATGATTATAAGGCTTTGTCCCCAAAGAACTTATAATCTACTTAAGATAAAGCTAATATAATACAACTTAAAAAAACAGCACACAAATAGGATTACCACCATATAACAATATAAAGAAAAGTGCTCAGTTATGTGTTCAAACAAGAATGTAAGTGTATATATATGCCATTTGCTCTGCAGGACCATCAGGTGAGGTGGGTATTATCTTCCTCGCCTTTACTGACACAGATGAGAAAAAACTGGGCTAAGTAGAAAGGCCAGGATTCGAACTCAAGCCTCTGCTCTCAAATCACATACTCACTGGAGTACAGGTAATACAGCGGACCTCAACTGTGGCTGCTCACTGGGATCATGTGGGGGCTTCACAAAGGCCTGATGCTGCTGTCCCAAGCCCAGAGATTTTGATGTCATTGTCTGGATGTAGCCTAGGCTTAGACCTGAAAAAGCTCCCCAGGTGATTCCACTGTGCAAAGTTGAGACCCAGAGACTAGAAAGACCTCAACTCTCCAGCCCGAGAAGTAGGCAAAAGGTTAAAGCACAGTCTTTAAAGAATTAATATTATCATTAATAAAAAGCTAACCATGCACCACCTATCTCATTTAATCCTCATAACAAGCCATCATGTAGGTGTTATTTATTCCCCATTTGATTGATGATGAAACTGAGGTAAGATAAGAAATAAGTGGAAAAACCAGGATTTGAATCCAGGTACATCTGACATCAGACTCCTTACACACACCACCACCCTGCTATATGGTCTCTGACGGAAGTCTCAGAAGTGATTCAGAAAGTCACACAGTAGCTTATTTGTAAGCTAAAAGAAATGTGGCATCTACCAATCATCTCTGTGAATTACTGGTGACAAATTCACTTAACCACTTAGGGTTTTGTGCTCCAATCTCATCTGTTACATGATACTATAGGCGAGTTAAGACGTGCTCTTTGCTGCATGCTTGAGAAATGTCAAACAGCCCCAGCTTCCAGGCTCAGAAATGAACTTGCGTTTTTCCAGGGACTTGCCAAGATTCAGACCTGATGATCAGAGGCTAAGCCATGCCCCTGAGGTAGGAGCAGCCAGATGGTTGAACTTTTGGCAGTCACCAGGGCACTCTGAGATTTGGCCAGAAATCAGAGCCACCGAGATGGAGGAGAGGGAAGAGAGGATGCTCCCTTTTTGGCTTAGTGGGAAGGAAGAGGGCTCAAGAAAGGCTTATTTATAAAAATACTGAATTCGGGCACTTCCTGGTTCTGAAACAGCTGCCCTAAGTCTCTCCTGAGACCTGTAGGATCAAGCAGGGCTACAAAACATGCCATTCATGTGGAACGACACCATCATGGGAAGCTTTCTACTCTGGCACAAATCAAGAACCAGATGGTTCCTGCCTGCCAGTGGTCAGAGATGAGGGAAGCACAGGTCAGTTCCTGAGCTATCTGGGTCATAACCACACCGGGGACTTAAAGAGCAGGGTTGTTATCTTGGGTTGGATTCTATATCCAAGGACCTCCACCTGCAGGAATCAGATGTCGCCTCCTCCACTCCAGAAGGTCAGGGTGACATGAGTGGCTCCCCCGATGGCAGCCTGCTGAGTTCTGCGCTAGCCTCCATTTTCAAGCGGCCACCTGCCCCAGTTGAGGGGAGCTGGGGGACCTTGAAATAACCCCTCTACAGCGAGGCCAGCGTTGCTCTGCCAGCTGACCTTCTGAAGTGCACCGGAAACCTAATCTAACAGGATTCTGGAGTGTGCCCTTTGCAGATAAGAGTGCAGATTACTGGCTAGTCCATTTCTTCCAATTGTTTTCTTTAACAGGAGTCTTGTCTTCCAGGTTAATCCCAGGTAGCAAGAATCTGACCCATCATCATTATGCCTCCTCACTTCAGCCCAATCAAACACTTTCACTCAAAAAAGCCATGGTCAAGAGCAGAAGCAGTCTTGAGCTCTGGGAGAAAGTATGTCTTAGGCATCTTCATCTCCTGCAATGGCTAGCCTCAAGTAGTAGGCACTCAACGACAACAACTTGTGTGTGTGTGGCTTTATAATTTACAAAGTGCTTATTTCACCACTTCACTTAACTCTTAAGACTATCTTATAAGGTACTGCTATTCTCCACATTTTACTCAGAAAACCATGGCTTAGAGAGGTCAAGTGACTTGTTCAAGTTCACATAGCAGAACTGGGACTTGACTCCAGAACCAAAAGTCTAAATCCTGCCCTTTTGCTCACTCCACACCCCTACGCTGCCTCCATAAACTATGGTCCCTGCCCTCAAGGCACTTAAAGTTCTTCCCAATATCAACAAGCTCAAAGTAAGAGGACATCCAGACTCCCAGGACCAGACTACACGCCGGGAGATGACCCACCTGCTGGGCTTATAGGCTGTGGTTTTGTACCAAGCAAGAGACATGAGGACTGCAAAAAAAATGGGGACTAGTCCTGCCACTGTTGTTCAGGCAGCTGCAATATGGCTCAGCAGGGCCAGGAAAACCCGCTGAGCAGGGGGAAACTGCTTCCTTTAACTGTGGTAGTGAGAAGGCACTGCATGTTTAGGTGTGGTTTGTTAAGAGGGCAGGGTGGGTTGGTCCACACACCCCTTGCCAAGGCTCCTTCCTCTGTTTGGTTTCCTTTCAGACTAGGAATCACTACGTGGTAGGAGGGGCAGGTCACCTGGTGCCCTCTGCTGGCCCTGACTTCCCCATCGTTGCTCAGAGCTACCCCTGTGGAGCAGCGGTTCTCACCTCTGGTCTCCTGTCAGAATGGCCTTGTGGATGGGGCCTGTCAATGCAAGGATGTCTGCCCCACCCGGGCCAACTATCTCAGACTCTCCCAGAGAGGGCTCAAACTTCTGTTTTCAGAGCAGCCAAGGATTTCTGATGCATAACCATAATCAGCAGTCCAGGGAAAAGCACACTCTAGGCAAAGTCCTAAAAGTGTACCAGTGTACAAAGGACCCTCAATTTTGGTCTCAGGCTCAATTCTGCCACAAATTAGAAGCCACCACCTTGTGCCTGTTACTTATCTGAGTTTCAGTCTCCTCAAATGTACAATAGGGTTAAGCGGGGTTAAGACTCTTTGCAAGGAGTTTGTACACAGTAAACAGATGTTGCAGTACAACACAAAAAGAAAAACAAAAGACAAAAACAAAGAAATGTTACAGTACACAAATTGCCAGTATACCACTCATTACATTGTAGCAGAATTTAGCAGTTTATATGCCTGCCTCCCCCTTTAGACTTCCACAACGAACTTTTCTTGGAATTCTCCGTGTCTAGCATAGAACAATGACTAATACGTGCTTACTAAATGGCTGTTAGAAGCCGCCTAGAAGCTGTGATTGTGGCAATGGAAAACCATAGAGAGGTGGGAGAGGGGCTTATTTTGAAGTTAATCCAAATATGCAGCGGCCACCCAAGAAGGACAGCTGTGCTTAAAGGAAGCTCAAAGAAGGGCGAAGCTGCCACAGAGAGGAATGAAGTCAGCGTCCTGTTAGGTGGAGACAGCCCCCGCTAAACAACCCTCTGACAGCTGCTTCCCAGCAACTGTTTGGGGGCAGGGCGATAGGCAAAGGGGCAGCTTCCCAGCCGCACTGAGCCCTCCCCGGGGCCCAGCCTACCCGAGACAGGGTGTCAGTGGCATGCGCTATTTCGAACAGCAAGTCTCTTGCCAAGCCCTTGCTGGGTGGTGTCTCTGGCAAGAGACCTTGCACGGCCCATGTATTCGGGGTACCCCAAAGGGCTCGCAGCGAGGCCGCAGGAGGCTGGGGCGGGGGGCGGGGGCGAGTTGCTCAGTGCTGGCCTCGTCCCCCAGCCTGACCGCCACCGCGCCTCGGCGGGACTTCCCAGCAGCGCTCGGAATCCTCTGCTCCCGGGAAACGCGTGCCTCCTGTTACCTAGTAACGACGCCCCCTGTTGCATAGCAACAAGGATCCAGGTCCCCAGTCGCCTTTCCCGCCGCGCGACGTCGGACCCCTCCCCACTCGTGCTCGCTTGGCCTCGCGGCTCCGCCCTGGCCCCGCCTGCCCTGGCTGCCCACTCCCTGGCCCGGCCTGTCCCTGAGCCCGGGTCTCAGCTCACACTCACCGGCCTCCGGCCACTGCTGCCCTTCACGTGCGACTTCGCTAAAACGAGCCACCAAACCCGCGCCTAAGTCCCCGGGCGTTGGTTTATCGTCTGCGCACGCGCAAGGCAGACCGTGCCCGGTTGCCTACCGCTCCCTCCCGGCCTAAACTTGGTGCGCTATGCGCATGCGCTCTCGATTTTTGTTTTTGCCCAGGATTTCCCACCGGGAGAGTAGTGGGATCGGAAGCTCGAGCTGGGAACGGAAGTCTGTGGCGGGAAAGGGGAAAGACGTGACCATATCTGGGCTGTAGAGTGTGTACTCTGGATCTTTGATTTCAGGGTCGAAGCCTATCCGCCCCTCCTGCTCCTTGGCATTTCGGGCAATGTAGTCCTTGAGCGTGTATTGACTCCTGGGTGATGTTCTAACGAAGGGGCGCCCAAGAGCCAGCCCATGGTCCTTTCAGAAACTTTACTTGCTGAAAAAGGCACAAAGGGAAGAGGTGTTGGAGCAGTTAAAGCCACACAGCGCTGGGGAAATGCATCCGCTCTCTCTGAGAGCAATTCCACTCCCGAAGTCTGCAGATGGCACCCAAATGTTCAATTGTAGAGAAGGAAAGGAACCAACTCCCAGACCCCATCTCTACAAAAGAACAGCATTCGGGGTTGGAGATGGGGGTGGGAGGGCAAGGATTTGGAAGCAGGTGATAACCCTTGCCTGCTTTGTAATTCAAGGCATGTCGCGTCATCTCGGAGTCTCAGTTGTTTCCACTTTACTATAAAAACACTTCACAGTAGGTATGGGAATTCAACGCCTAGATCACCTTGGCTGCCCTGGGAAAGCTCCCCTTTGATGTTAAAGCAGTTCCTGAAACTCAGCACTCTAAAATGGAACCCTTAACCCCTACCCGAATCAGCCTTCTAATTCTGTCTTCTTTCCAGACTACCAGAGGAGTAACAACCAGCCTGTCACCTCTTCTAGTTGTTTCTTTCCTTCAGATGTTTGTTAGCACATCTATCTTGCTCTGGACCCTCATCACTTCCTGCCTCAGCTAAGGGTCTCTCTTCTTCAACAGGCTCTGGTAACATCCTGGGCCTCACCTTCCAGGCTTTCTAAGGGTTGTGCCAAGTTAAGTTCAAAGCACTTTTTATTTTTAAAATATGTATTTATTGACTTTTTTAGAGAGAGAGAGAGAAATATCCATGTGAGAAACATGGATCAGCTGCCTCCTGCACACCCCCTGCTGGGGATCAAGCTTAAAACCCCGGCTTGTGCCCTGACAGGGAATCTAACTGGAACCTTTCAGTCCATGGGATGAAGCTCAATCCACTGAGCCACACTGGCGGGGGGTCAAAGTACTTTTTATTTATTTATTTAATTTTTTTCTACTACTTTATGTATGTATGTATGAATGTATGTATGTATTTTTCTGGTACATGCCCCTAGCAGGAACCGAACCTGGAACTCTCTGGTCCACAGGCCGACGCTCCAGCCGCTGAGCCAAACCGGGCTCAAAGCACTTTTTAAATATTAAGTCTGCACAACAACTCTATGAGTTGGTTCAACCCTTGTTATCACTGCCCTGTTTTACAGATGAGGAAATTAAGGCAGATAAATTCACATAGTTTACTAGCTGGGTGGAGCTGGGATTAGAGCATTCACAATATGATTTAAGAGTTCATGTGCTGCCCTGGCTGGTTTGGCTCAGCGGTTACAGCATTGGCCTGAGAACCAGAGAGACCGGGTTGGTTCACGCTAGGGGCACATACCTTGGTTGCAGTTTGTCCCAGGCAACCACCCTCTCACCTCGATGTTTCTCTTCCTCCCCCCCTCTCTCCTCCCTCTCTTCCTCCCACTCTGTCCTCGGGTGAGGATAAAAAAAAAAGGGTCCATGCGCTTGGTCGTTATGCTGCACTACTCTTCATTCCTGCACCTTTTATTCTTCTCTCCAAGCCGTTGTTTGTGCTGTTCCTTCTCTTGGGATGCCCTCTGTGCTCCTTCTCGGCTATCTAAACTTTGCCCATCCGTCAAAATCAGGGTCATTCACACCTATTCAGCGAAGAAGACCACATCTGTCTGTCCTGAGGCTTAGTCTGGATCCCTTATAGTCCACACCACATGTTCTGTACATGATTTCTGGGAGTATCTTATCTTATTTATTTATTTATTTATTTATTTATTTATTTATTTACTTATTTTAAAGAGAGAGATAAACATTGAGAGAGAAACGTGGATCAGCTTCCTTCTGCACCGCTCCCACCAGGAATCAAGCCTGCAACCCGGGCATGTGTCCTGACCATGAATGGAACGGGGACCTCTCAGTCCATGTGCTCAGTCAACTGAGCCACACCGGCTGGGCGGGGGTATCTTATTTTATAGATATCCACAAAGAATCTTACACGATCTGAGTTGAATGGGAAACAGAAGTCATGTAGGAAAGGGGCAGAGAAGCTGATGACTTGCCCAAGACTGCAGAACAAATTGATAGTAGGGAGAGGACCAGAACGGTTTCTTGGTCGGTGTTAGTTTCTCAATCCATCTACATCTGTGCTTTCTTCATCTGGTCACCTAGCAGTGTCTATCAAAGGGTAGTCCACGAAACACCGCAGAATCACATGGGACACGCACCGAAAATGCAGACTTTCTAAGGCAGGCCACAGGAATATGCCTTTTACCAAGTTCGTTAGGAAATTCTCGCGTACACCAGAGTCTGCAGGACTGTGGTCCCATGGCCCAGCGCCTACTGTTAAAAATGTTACAGAATTGCACAGGTTTTTAATTCCCATTGCACCATGGGAAATGTAGTTCCGGATCCCTTCTCCCCTGCTCCGGGGAGCGCTTTACGAAAGGAGCCGAATCAGTCCGGAAACAGGCGAGAGCTCTCTGGCGGGCCCTTTCCTGCCCGGTTGCATTCTGGGAAAGGGCAGTTTCCGTTAAGTGCAGGAGGCTGAGGCGCGCGACCAGCTCTAGTCCCACGTGAAGGGCTGCGCGATCTTCGCTCGGCGGGGCAGCTCCCGCTCGCCGCGGGGCGTCCCGGAAGCAGCGGGGAACAGGAATTGGCCCGCGGAAGCTCCGAAGCTAATCCTGGAGCCCGGTGTGTGGCGCCTCGGAGCACAGCGACGGCGCCATGTCCCTGATCTGCTCTAGTGAGTATCGGCTGCGGCCGATCCCGGGTCGCAGGAGGCCGGAGAGCTGAGCGGGAGGATCTGCGGGCCGCTGCAGCGGAGCGGAGATGGAAACGGGGTGGAGGTGAAAACGGGGCTCCCGGGAGGCTGGGCGGCGGCCTGTCAGCACCGGGGTCCTCCAGGGCGTGGGATGCATTCGCGCAGGGGTTCAGAGTTTACGTAACGCGTCAAGTTTATTGTCGCGGGCATCTCTGACGCCAGCCACCTCGTTTTCGCAGTGGGAATCGAGGCCTGAACCGAGGGAGCTGGTGCAGGGGAACCAGCTCTGGTGTAGGAGTCAGGATACCGAGGGCTTGTGCAGGATCCGCCTCCGACAGGCTTTGCGATCTGGTGCGAGGCGCTGTGCCTCAGTTTCCCCTGCAAAGTGAGAGCATTGCACTGGGTGTTGTTTTGCCATCTCGCTCGGATAGGCAGAGATTCTGCAATTGGCGACGGTCACACAGTGAATTAGGGGCCGTGACAGGGCTGGAAGCCAGGTCTCTATCTCCCAGCCTCACCCCGTACGACTGGTATCAACAGCGTACATGTCTAAAGCCCGTATTGGTTTACGGTGCACTTCCAAGTCCGGGGTCCTGGTCTTGGAATTCTCCAAAGCGGAAATGAAGGTCCGTTTTCTCAGACGAGGATGTAAGGTCCAAGGAGAGTATGGCTTATCTAATGCAGCACAGTTAGGAAGTGGCAGAACTGGGGGAGGGAGCAAGGTGCTCTGGTCTCGAATCCATGCTTTTGTCATGCATGTACTGTCTTTCCTTTTGGCATCTTATCGTGCCTGAAGATGTTTTCCATTCTCATTGTTTCATCGGGTTACTAGTTTCTAATCCCTTTTTCTTTTTGCTTCCTAACTCTCAAGCCCTTTACTGTTAGAATCTCGCCATAAAATTTTTTTTAAAAAGGGGGAGGAAGGAAGGGCAATAATGGCTAGGAAAAGGAAGCCTTCACATTGAAGAAGTCACAGTTTGCAGAGTATTTTCACATGTTGTTTTCTTTAGTCCTGAGGAAGCTGTTTTCCAGCACCATCCTTCCTCTCGTTCGCTCATCTGGTAGATGTTCACCAAGTGCCTGCTGGGCATCTGTGTTGTCAGACCAGCTGCAGTCTCTGTCCTCCAGGGGTGCACAGACTACTGAGGCAGGCGTGTAAATGATACCTCTTTTGGGGGTCGCTGTGAGGATGAATTAATCTATAGAAAGTCTTTACAGTGGTGCTTGTAAACTAGTAAACAACATGTAAATGTTTTGTATTATTATAGCACCTGTCACATTGCTTTGTAATTTTTTTTTTTTCTGATACTCCATCTAGACTCTAGACCAGCGATTTCCAGCTGGCCTGCCACAAGAATTTTAAAAGCATGCAATACCTGACTATAAAGTCAGGGACACTGACTTCTCTTCCCTTACATTGTCAAGTAAAAAATATGACAACAGCCAATACAACAATAGCCTCCAGTGTGAATGAATCAAAATCATACCTTTTTTGTGTGTGTGTCAAATTGGCAAAAAATATATAATTTTTGGTGTGCTGCAGAATTTTAGTAATTGGTTTATGTGTGCTGTGACATGAAAAGCGTTGAAAATTGCTCTAGTCAGATTTGAGTGGCCTCCTGTGTATCTCCATGTCCTGGAGTACCACGGAGCCCCAGCATCTGTGTTCAAAATGAGATAGGCAGGGACGACTGACTGCTCCCGAGGTGCCTGGCACATAGTAGTTGTGCAGCAATTATTTGTTGGCTCTCTGACTGTCAGGAGACTGATGGAGAAGCTAGTTATGTCACTGGACAGCATTTTGGGGACAGTACAAAACTGTCTCGTTGTCATGTTTTGATTCCTGTTAGTTGAGTGTGGGATGCATGGTCTTGTTGGGACCAGCAGCAGATGAGGCATCCCTTTGGCCCAAGGTCCCTTTCACTACCCCAAGCTCACTA